TATACTACTTTTGGCTCCTGTGGTGAGCTATTCCTCATAGGAGAGCGTCCACCTGCATTTTTTGCCCTTTGCTGCGCATCCCTTGCAGAGGCTACATTGCTGTTACCTGTACCTAGATGAGATGTGTTTACATGCTGTTTACCAGATGTCTGGTGAGTGTATATCTGACAGAGGTGGTGGATTCCCTATTGGATCACTTCAAAATATTTCACCGTGATTGCCGTACTTATATCCTTACGGACAATTTATAGCTCTTACTCCACTGATATTTTATGGACTTTATATATTCTCACTTTTATGCTGCACTTTACTGTTTCATATTTATTGAATATTTTTTATATATGATTTTTATATGCTGCACTTGACTGTTCCACTGAAAATGTTTTTATTTTTTTTCCCGCTATATGTCAGATTGACTTTGCACTTTATTTGCACTATAATATCATTCACTTGTTTTAGCGCTGCATTTTCTATATATTTTATGCATGAGGAGAAAGTTTGTGAGATTTGCTACCAACCGTCCAGGAATTACGAGCCAGCTGATGAGTCCCAGTTGAAGGCATAGTTAAGCTCTGTTAAACCTCATTCTATCTGAAAGGTCTTATATTAAAGTGAGAGTCCGAGCTTGCACAGGGTGTGATGCATGTTTGGTAATGATCAGGAGTGTATTTTAGGGACACTTTGGTGATCGGAAGAGCACAGTGATGATGGATTTATTTATGAACTTTTTTGAACTGTATATTGTTGCACTGCACTATTATCACTTTACATGGAGAGTATAAGCTGCCTTGTTGAAGGTTAAATCCAGAAGTAGCGGAGAGGGAACAATACTGTCTGTATAAACACTGTCCTATGGAGGCCTCGTCTGGACCCATTCACCCAGACCGAGCGGACGCAGAGGCGGAGGGGTCAGTATGCTCCTACCACCACCGCTGAGCACCTTCCAGGTCCTCCCTAACCCCCCCCCCTATCCTTCGAGGGCCACTGCATCCGGCTCTTCTCTCCCCCCCCCCCTAAGGATTGCAGTAATCTATCGGCCTCCTGGTTCTGCATCCCCCTTCCTAGACGACTTTGCCGCTTGGCTTCCCTTCTTCCTCTCCTCTCGAGCTACCGACCATCATCCTAGGCGACTTCAATATCCCGATCAACGCCAACAGCCCGGCTACTTCCCAACTCCTCCTTCTAACCTCCTCCTTCTCGCTCACACAGCATACTCAGTCCTCCACCCACTCCAACGGAAACACCCTGGACCTCGTTTTCTCCCACCTCTGCACACCCCACGACTTCACTAACACCCCCCTTCCCCCTCTCTGACCACCACCTCCTCACATTCTCCATCTCCCCCTCCCTCAACCCCCCCCCCCCCCCCCGAAGCGTCTAACCATCACCCGCAACCTCCGCAATCTGGACCCGACCCATCTCCACCTAGCAACTGACCGTCTGTATGACAGTATCCTCCCTCTGTCATGCCCTGACCTGGCCACTACTGCATACAACGACTCACTGTCAGCTGCCCTTGACTCCCTGGCACCCCTAACCACACGTAGCATTAGACCCCGACCGCTTCAACCCTGGCAAAACGACCACTCGAAATGCCTCAAACGATGCAGTCACGCGCTGGAGCGCTTATTGCGCAAAACCAGATCCCCTCGCGTGTTCTCCCTCTATAAAGCCACCTACCTCGCCTACACCACCTCCCTCCACACCGCCAAGCAAGCCTATTTCATAACCCTTATCAACACCCTCTCCACCTGTCCTCATCGGCTCTTCTCCACTTTCAAATCCCTGCTCTCTCCCCCTCCACCCCAGCACCTCACTCACCGCCCACGAGATTGCCAATCATTTCCAAAACAAGATTGACGCAATCCGTAAGGACATTGTCAACTCGCAATCCATCTCTCCACTCAGCCTCCCGCCCTCCTTCAACCTCTCAACCGTCCCCTCCCCCCGACCTCAAAGCCGCACTACCCCCCCACTATACCTAATGCCCCGCACATCATCACACCTCCCCAACACTCCGCTCCCTCAGCCCAACTACCCCCGAGGAGGTCTCTAAGGTCTTCACTGAAGCCCGCCTCACCACCTGCCCCCTGGACCCTATCCCCTCACAGCTCCTCCAGTCACCCCCCCCCTCCATCATTCGCTCCCTCACCCACATCTTCAATCTCTCCCTCTCCACTGGCACCTTCCCCTCCCCTCTAAAGCATGCACACATCACCCCCATACTCAAAAAAACCCTCCCTTGACCCCACCAACCTTAACAATCCTAGACCCATCTCCTTGTTGCCCTTCACTTCCAAGCTCCTTGAGCACCTGGCCTACAATCGCCTAAGCGCCCACCTCACTGATAACAACCTCCTTGACCCCCTACAGTCTGGCTTCCGTCCCCTGCACTCCGCCGAAACCGCCCTACTTAAAATCACCAACGACCTGCTAACCGCCAAAGCCAATGGCCACTATTCTATCTTCCTGCTCTTCGACCTCTCCACGGCCTTCGACACTGTTGACCACCCTCTCCTCCTTGCCAAACTGCACTCCCTTGGCATCAAGGACGCTGCTCTCTCCTGGTTCTCCTCCTACCTTTCCCAAAGCTCCTTCAGCGTCACCTACAACACTGCCACCTCCCCCTCCCTCCCCCTCTCTGTCGGGGTCCCCCAAGGCTCTGTCCTCGGGCCCCTCTTCTTCTCCATCTATACCTCCTCCCTTGGCAAACTTATTCACTCCCATGGCTTCAATTACCACCTCTATGCCGACGACACCCAAATTTACCTCTCCACCCCCCACCTCACCCCCTCATTCTCTGCCCGCATCGCCCACCTCCTAAACGACATATCAGACTGGATGTCGCTCCATTTCCTCAAACTTAACCTATCCAAAACCGAGCTCCTGGTTTTCCCCCCCACCACCCCGTGCCCCCCCATCTTCTCCATCACTACTAACAACGCCACCATCTCTCCCACCCCACACGCCAAAGTCCTGGGTGTCACCATGGACTCCCACCTCTCCTTCCTACCCCACATCCAACTGCTATCTGGATCTTGCAGGCTCCACCTCCGCAACATCTCCAAGATACGCACATTCCTCACCCCAGACACCACCAAACAACTCGTACACTCCCTCATCATCTCACGCCTGGACTATTGCAATTCCCTTCTCACTGGCCTACCCAAACGAGTGCTATCCCCACTCCAGTCGATCCTAAACTTAGCGGCTAGACTCATCCACTTCACCAACCGCTCCACATCTGCCTCCCCCTCTGCCAATCCCTTCATTGGCTCCCGATTGCCCAACGCATCAAATTCAAACTGCTAACTCTGACCTACAAAGCCATTCACAAAGCCGCCCCAAACTACATAACTGACCTGATACCCAAATACTACCCTACCCGTGCCCTTCGCTCCTCACAGGACCTCCTACTCTCTAGCTCCCTGGTCTCCTCCTCCCACGCCCGATTGCAGGACTTCTCCAGGACTTCCCCATCCTCTGGAACTCCCTACCCCAATCCATCAGACTGTCGCCTACCCTCCTCACCTTCAGGCGCACCCTGAAAACCCTCCTCTTCAGGGATGCCTACCCCAACCTCACCTAACACCCGACCTCACCTAACAACTAACCTCCTCCCTCCTCCCGCCACTCCATCCCCCACAGCCATCTCCTCCTGTGCCACCTTCCCCTCCTTCCTAGATTGTAAGCTCAAAAGAGCAGGGCCCTCGAACACCTCGTGTATTGTATTGTTACTGTCTTGTCTCATGTTCTGTCCCCCTTGCTATTGTACAGCACTGAGCATACCCTTTGGCGCTATATAAATACTGTATAATAATAATAATAAAGCATCTTGCGAGGGGGCTTCCCTGCTAAATAGGTTCTTGGGCTAGGTTGACACTGGTGTTGTTAGAGAATGCATGCAAAATTGTGCACTTTTTGACAAACACAGAAACGCAATGCCCTTTATCAGACGTGTGGTAGTGCCATCAATTTTAATAGCACCCCCATTCATTTGCTAATGCGTAAATGTTTGCATGTGTATTGGTGCGCCACAATTTTGGAAAAGAATCAGGGACTTCTTGTGTATAAGGCAGTCTATTGTAGAGCTACACATATCTCCAGGGAATACTTACAGTCTGGTCATTTAGGTTTACCAGGGGTAAAAACAGCAGCTATGGCTAGTAACCACTGGAAACTGGAGGCATCACTTTAGGATCACAGTTTTTATGTTCAGAAGAAGCTGTGCAGTAGCTTGTGGAGAGGAAAAGAAAACAAAGAAGCTGTGACTTATCAATAATTAACTCTCCTAAATCCCTGTTAAGGAGTACGTTTTAACAAGAAACTAGCTTATGAAATGGCTCTGATCCTATTTCATCTTCTGAAGTGCAAAGCGGGTTAAAGAGTCGCTCTTTAGTCAGCATAGTACTTTGCTATACTCTGTATCTCTATACATTCTGCTATCATGATTTTCTCACAGTTAGAACAAAACCAGTTGCCCTCATACTCAGTGGTCAGTTTTAGACACTTAGGCCTAGGACACACAATTAAAAAATCAGACTAAAAATACAGCTTTTGGAGTGATCATCCAATAATCTGATCATTAATACGGAGCTTTCAGTAACCAATCACAACAGTTCATGCAGAAATATCCAAAGGGACAAGCTTGAAAATTTTTCTCATAAGATAACAGAACAAATGATTTTCGAGTAATCAGTACAGTATTCATCCATAAAAACTTGAGTGACCAAAACCGCATATGCTAGGAAATGAAAGAATACATTACAATACATTACATCATTGTGGGACGCTGTATTCTGTTTTACGAGAATTTTCTAGTGACCTATACTTTTTTGATATGAGACTGGCATGCAAAAAAACCCCAAAAAAAACAGATGATCACTTGTCTGACATTAACATCGTGTGTACGAGGCTCTAACATGATAAATTCCCAGGCAGGCCCAAACTGCAGCCCTTCCAGTTTATGAGAGAAAAGTATTGGGACACCCCTCCAAATCATTGGTCACTCTCAGAAGCTCAGTGAATTCACGCGTGGTGCTGTGATATGTTGCCACCTGTGCAATAAGTCCATCCGTAAAATTTCCTTGCTACTAAATATTCCAAGGTCATCTGTTAGTGGTATTATAACAAAGCGGAAACAACTGGGAACAACAGCAACTGAAGTCATGAAGTGGTAGGCCATGTAAAGTGACAGAGTGGGGTCAGAGCATGCTAAAGCACACGGTGCGCAGAAGTCACCAACTATCTTCATAGTCAATAGCTAAAGACCTCCAAACTTTATGTGGCCTTCAGATTAGCACAAAAACAGTGCATAGAAAGCTTCATGGAATGGGTTTCCATGGCCGAGCAGCTGCATTCAAGCCTTACATCACCAAGTGCAATGCAAAGCGTTGGATACAGTGGTGTAAAGCACGCCACCACTGGACTCTAGAGCAGTGGAGACGTGTTCTCTGGACTGATGAATCATGCTTCTCTGTCTGGCAATCCAATGGATGTGTCTGGGGAAGACATAGGAGAAGTTCCGCTTTAAGCCTTTGGAAGCACTTTAACACCGCGCTACCTAATAAGAGGGCTGAAAATAACACACCTCATCCGTGTAGAGTATATCACTCAATATCACTGCAATCAGTGCTCTCTCTCTCCTCAAGGGGTAATAGATTCAGATCTCAAATAAAATCCCCTTGTCGTCCAGTCCAAAAATCTAACAATTATTCACACCAACATAAAAATGAAATAAAAATCCACTGTATGAAGCATAGGTTACATTTAAAATATATTGCAATTACATTAGCATATCTGTGAATCAGTTCAGTAATCTTGAAAATTCTTGTTGGGAGCTCACTTGTAATAAAAGGTTTGCTGGCCAGTTTGGTCTGTTTTAGGAAGTTGAAAAATAACTGTTTTACTGGCTGAATCGCTAGCTGAAAATAAAGGAAAGAAAAATTAAAAAAGAAAACTAAGTTGAGCCTAACATACTGGAAATATGAGGCAGCTGCATAGTTTCTCCTTGCTGCTCCCACTATAGTGGTGAGTGCACAGAGCTGATCCTCTATTGAGGCAGGATTAGTATTAGTTTACTGTACAGCTGCCCAGAGATCAGCCTCTTTGAGCCAATTAACCAGTGACAGCAATAATCTTCTGCTCTGATTGTGTTTTAGTTTTATTTCACTTTTTTTTAGCAAAGTTAAATTCATGTTCCATATTTCCAGCTGACATGGATCTTAAAGAAACATTGATGTTGAGATGTCATCTAAATATTAAAGCCAGCGATTAAAAAAAAAAAAAAAGTAATAAAAAAACCACATACTGTAAGCATATTGCTAAATGTGCAAATTGTGCACTTATTCCATTGCTGTGTGCAAATATTTATAGATGAGTTTGATTGCTCACTGCTCACCAAACCACCCAGCTGTGAGATAAGATGCCGCCTGTATTGTAGCAGCCAAGTTATTTATAAAGTATCAAAGTGCATTCTTTTCAGTCCTTCACATGGCTGCTTCTTTGGAATTTTCGAACAGTTGACGGCACTGAGGAGTGTTAGCTAAAGAAGCCAGCAGATTTCAGAACCCCTGCTTCTTGAATTGCATTCACCATTTCTGTTTTAAATTCCACTACTAGAAAGTGAACATGTAAAAACGTATTTTACTAGAAAGTGAACATGTAAAGAGGTCCTTCACTAGAAAGTGAATATGTAAAGAGGACCTTCACTAGAGAGCAGGGGCGGACTGACCATTTGGGAACTCGGGCAATGCCCGAGGGCCCGGGGTCAGTAGGGGGCCCCATGAGATGCCCCTGGTACCTTTCATAGGATTTTTTGGGTGTGGTTTGAATGTGGGCTAGGACACAGGGGCCCCATGATTCCCTATTGCCCGGGGGCCCCATGAGTTGTCAGTCTGCCCCTGCTAGAGAGTGAACGTGTAAGGAAGTCCTTCACTAGAAAGTGAACATGCAAAGAGGTCCTTCACTAGAAAGAAAACATGTACGGACGTCCTTCACTAAAAGGTGAACACGTAAAGAGGACCTTCATTAGAAATAAAACATGTATAGAGGACCTTCACTAGAAAGTGAATGTATAAAGAGGTCCTTCACTAGAAAGAAAACATTTAAGAAGGTCCTTCACTAGAAAGAAAACATGTAAGGAGGTCCTTCACTAGAAAGTGAACATGTAAAGTGGTCTTTCACTAGAAAGAAAACGCACAGAGGACCTTCACTAGAATGTGAACATGTAAAGAGGTCCTTCAGTAGAATAAGAACATGTAATGAGGTCCTTCACTAGAAAGTGAGCATGTAAAGAGGTGATTCACTAAAAAAAAAACATGTAAAGAGGACCTTCACTCGAGAGGGAACATGTCAAGAGGTCCTTCACTAGAAAGAAAACATATAAGGAGGTCCTTCACTAGAAAGCAAACATATAAAGTGATCCTTCACTAGAAAGAAAACATGTACGGAGGTCCTTCACTAGAAGGTGAACATGTAAAGAGGTGCTTCAGTAGAATGAGAACATGTAATGAGGTCCTTCAGTAGAATGAGAACATATAATAAGGTCCTTCACTAGAAAGTGAGCATGTAAAGAGGTCCTTCACTAGGAAGAAAACATGTAAAGAGGATCTTCACTAGAGAGTGAATGTGTAAAGAAATCCTTCATTAGAAAGTGAACATGTAAAGTGGTCCTTCACTAGAAAGAAAACATGTACGGAGGTCCTTCACTAGAATGTGAACATGTAAAAAGGTCCTTCAGTAGAAAAAGAACATGTAATGAGGTCCTTCATTAGAAAGTGAACATATAAAAGAGACCCTAAGGATTCTTTATAGATTTACTGCGGCCCTTATAAATCAGAAATAAGTCATGGGGCTTGGAGCCAGAGTCACCATTTTTTTTAAATTAGTCCTGGTGGTTTTGCATGTTTTATTCATATATATATATATATATTTTTTTTTTATTTGTATTCATTTTTAATTTATTTTCTAGATATGAACTTGTGAACTTCATTACAGTACCCTGAGGCTTCAAGGTGATTTTGTGGAGCACAGTAGTACCCTTAGATCAGTCCTTCTGTCCATGCCCTTTCCGCTTCTGATTTCTGGTATTATGAATGTCCACCACATTAACTTTTATTAAAGTGACTAAGACAAAAGTCCATCAAGTTCGACCATAAAAAAAAGTTATAGTCCTTTACCCACAGTTGATCCAGAGGAAGGCAAAATAACCCAGCAAAGCATGATCCAATTTTCTCCTGTAGGGAAAAAAAATCCTTCCTGATGACCCGAGAGGCAATCGGATATTCCCTGGATCAACTTTACCTATAAATGTTAGTATCCAGTTATATTCTGTGTAACTTAATTTATAAAATAGAAGGGCCAGAGGAATTGTACACATGAACAGAAATCCTTGAGCTAACTTTACGGCTGCTGCACTGAAATGCACAGTTTATATAGTAGCCACATAAACCACAGCAAGGAGGTAGGTGTAATTGACACTTTGTAATACCACTCTTCTTCCTAGGTATATTTCCTGGAGCTTTCCTTTTTAAAAAAAAACAATCCCTCAAGAGTTGGTTCTGGCCAGCTCAGTGGATTGCTTTAAAAAAGGCCTGGATTCTTTCTTGGATACACAGAATATAACTGGTTAATAACATTTATAGGTAACGTTGATCCAGGGAATATCTGATTGCCTCTCGGGGGATCAGGAAGGAATTTTATTCACTGCAGGAGCAAATTGGATCATGATTTGCTGGGGTTTTTTTTGCCTTCCTCTGGATCAAGTGAGGGTATAAGATTATAACTTTTTTTTTTTTTTTTTTTTTTTATGGTTGAACTGGATGGACTTTTGTCTTTCTTCATCTAGCCAGAAAAAGGAGATATGGATGATTAATAAACACTACATTCTCAAACAATTTTTAATGAGAATGGTAACCAGCTGGGAGTCTATAGGCTCAATCTACAAAGCTTTACACTAGGGCAAGTAAGCTTTAATAAGATTTAGGCCTCATTCAAATGGGCGAGTAAAGCATATACCCATGTGAAGGGCCGTGTTTGTCCACATGGAATGCAGAGGTGTGCCATGCATCCACATGATTGACATCCATGCAGTGTGAGTTCAGGGACATGCACCCGCACAGATGTCAAATTGAAAGCAGTGGCTGTGTCCATGCAGCTGATCTGTCCCAATTGACATGAAAGAGATTGCCTGCACACAGCCTGGCTGAACTGAATACAGCCCCATTTACACCTGAGCGTTTTGTCGTGCGAAGCTTGAAGCTCCAAAACGCTCAGGGGGGGGAAACAAAATCAGAATTACTCTATGGAGATGGTTCACATCTCCACTCCAAGTCTCCTGAAGCACAACTCAAAGCTCAAATTTGGCAGATTTGCACGTTTTGGTGCATTTTTATTCCCATAGAAAAGAATATAGAAGTGCGCGATTGGTGTTTTTTTGTGCATGTTCGCACAATTTTCTACTCAAATGAAAAAATAAAAAAATAGTAATAATATATGAATAAATAAACATTAAATAAATTCAATAAATACACATATAAATAAAAAATCATGATAAATAATTCATAATTAAATAATAATTAACCCCTAACCTTAAATAAAAAAATACAAATTATAATAATAATAATATAAAACACCCAAACAAAAAATACATACATTTATTTTTATTATTATTAATTTTATTATTATTATTGCATTACTTTTTTAGGTTTTAGGGGGTTAAGGTTATGGGTTAATTATTATTAATTTATTATAAGTATTTATTTATGATTATTTTTATTTTTATCTGTGTATTTAACACGTATTTATTCCTTTTTATTATTAATTAATAATAATAATTTCTTTTTGTTCACTGTATGAAAACATGCAAAAACTACGGTAAAATATGTGAGAAAAATCATGTGACAAATGCTGAATAACGCTACGCTCAGATGTGAATGGAGTCTAACTGAGTAGCTGAGCGTTGTCACCCCAGGAAAGGAAGTGCATGTGAATATACCTTGTTGTATGGATCATCAGGTTTGATTTAATGGAAAGCAGGAAAATAAATATTTTTGACATTACAGGGCAATGGGTAAAAACATATTTAGTTTAAAGGTTTGAAGAAAATAGGTTATCTTCTCAACATTCATTTGTAGCTCGAAGTCATTGTTGAAAAAAAAAAACAAACCTGACAAAAAAGGTTTTGGTTAATGCACAAACCATCTCTGTGCATGATGAGATGAATTTCTACAGTTGACTGTGAATGTAAATCTTCTCCTAAGGCATGTTTCATACACTTTTCAGGAAGATAGTATTTTGTTTAACAAACTGCCCACAATGAATTTTCTT